CACTTCTTGCACTCCGTTCACTGCGGGTCCGGACGTAGACGACACTGCAAAAAGAGCAGTTTTTGAGACGATGTTCGCGGCTTGCTGCCGCTGCTGCTAAGTTTACGTTAACGCTATCCAATATTTTTAGTTCACGTTTTTTGCAGAGGCGCCAAACGACAGGTGTGTATTCTTTATTAAAGCGAATCATAATTCAACACAAAATTGGTTCGGTATCGCGAGGGAATTTAGCCAATGTAGGGCGCAAATGACGTAATCTTTTCGAGCAACCAGTCAAAAAAGAGGTTTCTGACGCAAAACACCTTTGAAGTTTATAGGAACATTAAGGGCGTGTTTGTGCAGCAAGTTTTCGAGACGTTTTCAGGGCCTTTGATTTCAATGAGTAATAGGTGAGCTGGTGTTCTTCAATGGGAAGCCTTAATTTCTACAAAATAAAGCAGCAGCACTACAAGTGCATGGGTTCAAAAACGACCACCTGCGGCAAAAAAGTTGACTGATTCAAATGCCAACGACAGAATGACTTTGGAATAAAAATGACCCACTCCATGCATCTCGCCACCTACTTTTTCACACTGCCAAGTTAGCCTATACACATTTATATATTCTCAATTATGCCCCAATTTACAGCGCCACCGCAGCAGACAGGAGGCAAGCTTCAGTTATTAACGTGCGCTAAAATTGCAACATGTGAGTGTTCAAACTGGTTACGCACATCAAAAAGTGCCAATTTCGGCTATGTAGAGACGAATATCATACGCCGCAGTACGCCACTACCAATAACTCCTACCAATAAGAGCTGGGCCCGAGCTGTTGGTGTTCCAACTGAGATTCTCGTGCCGGTTTTTGCCGCCAGCCTTCAGCGTCCGCAAACCTTCCTCTCCCTATCACCAATAAACGCCGTTTCAGCGTGTAGAAGGTGCTGGGTTCAGAGATCAGTGCCTGCCCCCCCCCCCCAGAAGTGACCGCAAAATCCAACCAGCAAGGCAAGACCCTACCTCCGATGGTCATTGTGCCCTCTGTGGCTTATGATCATCAACTCTACATAGCAAAAATGGTCACCTCTTGATAAAGGCAACAAGTCCGAACAACCGTTTGCATATGCTATGCAAGCACTCACAAAAGCGGAAGTGAACAAGTCAGTCACTGACAGAGAACGCCTCGCAATTGCGCGGGCTTTAGGCAAGTTTCCAGGTTACTTAGACAGTTTCGTCGTCGTAAGCGACCGTCAAGCACTCTTTTCTTTGGCTTTGCTACAGGATCATTCAGATTGCCTTGCACAGTCAATTTTATTTAGCCCGTTTTCGCAGCATAGTGTTTTTTTGACAGACGTTTGCGTGAACTAATGTGGTTGTCTTGTTGAGCAAATGTACCCCTCAAGCAAACTTGATAGAATTCCGTGCCCCTCGTGTTTGTGTTACAGTAACATCAAAGTTTTATAATCAAAATAACCTTTCCAAATAAAATTTAAAATTAAGGTCTCAGCATGGCCATCTCAGTGTTGAGCAATAATAATTGTCAGAAATTTATGACGGCTATTCAATAGAGAGCTTTTGTGAGGAGTCAGGGAAGAGGGTTGTACAAAAAAACAATATATGAACGTCTACCGCATGTATGAAGTGTGGAGGTGGCCTTCTCAGCCAATTTTCAGCTGCTTTCGTTTCATCTGTATTCTATAAGACACGGGGGGGGGGGGGCATATAGTGTGAATAGTCGCTGCAATGGCGTCGTAATAGGCGCACGAATGCTTACCTGCGTTGCAAAAAAGAAAAAAAACTCACGTGCCACAAGAAGCTGTCTTGCAATCACATCTGAATTGAATGAGGGCTTGCTTAGAGTCCGAGGATCACAGCAGCTAAGGTTCAACATTTATGGCGACGATAGTTTGTGTCAGCCTGAGACATCCGCACCAATTCATTGGCTTTTTTTCTTACGCCTAAAGTTGTCTCTTGACGACAAGTGCGTAGCTGCTGACCTTTGTTTACTATCTTATAGCTACACTGGTTAAGTGCGAGTTCCACACGTTGCTTAGGCCCGGTGTGCTGGGAGTGGCTGAAGGGCGTCTCCTCACGAGTAGAAGGCCACTAGAGGTCATCCTGGTCCTGTCTATGGAGCAGTGCATAAGGTTATAGAACTGAGCATGGCATTGTCTTCTTTTAAACGATGAATGCTAAAATGCAAAGAAGAACGCTTTGATGCATACTTAGAACACCAAACTTTGTGGAGTGAAATGGCTCATGGAAAGAAGTGACTATACGCTGAGTAGCGAAATTTATTGCACATTTTATTTACAGAGCAATTATTCAAGACACGGGATTTTATCTAAATGGGAACATCCGCATGCTCTTAACAAAAAGAAAAAGAAGAACGCCAAGCCGGCGTGGGACGTGCAGTACAGTCACCGCGAACGCTAGAACAGCAGCCTTTTAGAGCCTTTTCTTATCACTCTTTGAGTGTACATAAACGCCACAAATAATCAATATTTTTGTGTAGTACGCTATCATTCAGTATGCTATCCAACCTTCATCGGAGAAGCGTGGTATCCACAACACACTTGTTAACAATACTGTGTAACTTTTTTATGCAGTGGCTGACGACGATGAAGAATTATGCCTGAAGAGTGTATGCGCTAAGGTTCATAGGGGATCAAGAACAAGTTTTCGAATGCGTTGGAGCATTCAACGGCCCACTCATTACGCAATTCACATTGTGTGACGCCTAGCTGTTCCTTTCACGCTCTGAAACGCTTTAATATAAAGTCACATTAACGCGATTCTTTTCCCGACATAAAGCCTGCCTAAGGCAAGCTTGCTGGTAGAAGTCCCAAGCACTGGCGTGGCTCAGAGGTAGAATGCTGGGCTGGCACGCAGTGGATCTAGGTTAAAATTCTATAATGGCAATATGTTTTCTATTCACTGAGCTTTTTTTGTTTCGTTCGATACAGGCTACGGCCACCGGCGGCGGCGGCGGTGCCGCTGGGGACCCGTGTTCTGATCTAATAATAGCTTCCGCTGTCGAAAATATATATTGTAGGTTATCATATGAATAAAAATGAATGTAGATGAGTGAGTTCTCCTGTCGTTCACGGGTTGTTTTTGTTAGTGCGAACATATTTGAACGGAACGAGCATTGCACATGCGAAGCATTGCTTAGCGAACTTCGGAGACTTTCATCTATCTATCTATCTATCTATCTATCTATCATATATCTATCTATCTATCTATCAATCTATCTATCTGTCTATCCATCTATCTATCTATCTATCTATCTATCTATCTATCTATCTATCTGCGACTTTTAACTCTCCTAGCCATTCCAATAATGGGATCTGTACCAAAATAGGTATGACGTAACATGACTGTATGACGAGCGTAAGTGAGTAATCACAATATAAAAATCAGGACATGTGTTTCATGAGAGTCACGTTTTACGTGTCATAGTATCAGGGCTCTCGCGCTAGTTTCGTTCACATGATATATTGAGAAACTGGTATGGTATGACATGAATGCTTGGCGAACATAAGTGGCAGGCCCTGACGTGGAAATCATGACATGCATGCCATGTAAGTCGTGAATACACGCCACGCTCACGGTGCATTCGCGGTCGTTTCGCTAAATGGACTTATGCCAAGTATGGTATTACGTGACATCAATGGATGGCCAAGGTATATGACTGATGCAAACAGGATAATCATGACATGCGTGTCATGTAAAACATGAATACCTTCCGTACGTCATGATGCGCTCGCGGCCGTTTCGTTCGCATCACATATACCAAATTTGGTATACCGTGACGTGAACGAACCACGATGGTATATGACTGCTGCAAACATAATAATCATCACATGCCGGTCATGTAAGATTGATTGAATGATATGTGGGATTTAACGTCCCAAAACCACCATATGATTATGAGAGACGCCGTAGTAGAGGGCTCCGGAAATTTCGACCACCTGGGGTTCTTTAACGTGCACCCAAATCTGAGCACACGGGCCTACAGCATTTCCGCCTCCATCGGAAATGCAGCCGCCGCAGCCGGGATTCCAACCCGCGACCTGCGGGTCAGCAGCCGAGTACCTTAGCCACTAGACCACCACGGCGGGGCCCTGTCATGTAAGAACATGACTACAAGTCATGCTCATGATGCATTCATGGTACTTTTGCTAGCTTCACATATACCAAATTTGGTATTACCTGACCTGAACAGACAACGAAGGCAAATAACACTTCCAAACATGATAATTATTACATGCGAGTCATGTAAATCTTGACAACATGCTACGAGCATAGTGCGCTCACGGCCATTTCGCTAGCTTCACATATACCAAATTCACTGTTACATCACGCGAACAGACGACGAAGGTATATGACATTTCCAAACATAACAATCATAACATACCTGTAATCTAAAACATTACTATATGCTACGCTCATAGTGCGCTCGCGGCTGTTTCGCTAGCTTCACATATGCCAAATTCGGTATTACGTGACGTGAATGGACGACGAAGGTGAATGACACGACCAAGAATGATAATGGTGATGTGCATCTCATGTAAAACATGAATACATGCTACGCTCACAGTGCGGTTAGGGCCCTTTCGCTAGCTTCACACTGAACAATTTGGTAGTACGCGACATGAACGGCCAACGAACACAAATGCCAGGAGCAAGCATGATAAATATGACACGGTAGTCATGTAAAACCCAAATTTACATGCCTACCACTGCTGATGAGTCACGCAAACGACAGTGGGTTGAACTCAAATAAGTGGCAATCAAAACTACTGTCTTCTATGACAACGATCTACGTGCTTGAAATGACGGTGAGAAAGATACTAGGGTTCAATGCGTGCAGAGTAAATAAAAAATGCTGACGCAGATTTCCCACTGCCATTACGCCATAACGAATTCAGGTGCGAGTGAAGAAAGAGCTCTAAACAGATTCACGCGTTTATGCATTTGTTTTTTTTCCACATACTCTAGAAAGCATTCTTATCTTTGCAGGTGAAATAAATACTAAGAGCTCCTCCAATTCAAGGGAGTGTTCTACCCCACTAATGGAAGAAGTAAGGTTTTGTGGAAACTTGAGGATATGGAGATATTTCTTCAACAGAACTTCCCGCCAGTGTCAGCAATTCATGTGGGATAATTGCCTCAACGATGGTGTCCATGGAACACGTGGTGGCTGTGCTAGGAGGTGCAACCTCAGTGAGTATGTTACAGAGCATTTTGTGGGTGTAATCACGAACGATCGCAAGCTGCTGCTACATAAAAACTGGCGAAAATGGCTTGCCACAATAAAACTGAAGCGTCTTAACCACCCCACGACATCGTAACTTGTGCTCCCTGTAACACTTTTACTTAGAATTTGGTGTTAAGAAATCACACTTCGCAACTGCCTAAACATAGATTTCACAGATACCGGTAGCGTGTAGAAGGGGTAAAAAAGGAAACAAAACGACGCACAAAAACCTACCGCTATGATAACATTACGGGGAAGATTTAGTCATTGACTGCGGGACGAGCTCACGCTGCGCAGAGCGCACAGTACCGCATACCAACCGGGCAGCTTGAGAGTGCAACCCAAAACCACAATGTAGTCGTCTTTCTTCTTTTCGGTGTCATTTTCATTTTAGCGCTTGTGCCAGAGTCGCTGTTCCATACACGAGTCAGTAACCCCGGCCGGTAAGGCACCGTCTCGGTGCCTGTTAAATCTGTGAGTCACCGTTGAAGCGCTTAAGGCGAGAAACGTGTACTAATTCATCTCTTGGTGTAGCAGCCAATGAGCTTGTTCTCGCGGAAACTCATACGCGATAGGTGTGACCTGACAAATGACTCGGTAGGGTCCAACGTTCGTAGCACGATAATTTCTCGCAGAGGCCAACACGTCAAGATGGAAGCCACAGCTTCATCGTCGTCATGGCCTCCGACAACAGCCAGGCTGACTGGGAGCCACTCGATCCCGCGTTCGAGTGGGTCCAATGATTTGTGCTCACGGGTATTTCTACGGGCTTTCAAGACGTGGGCTCCTTTCTGAAGCGACGTCACCCTTGAATAGCCAAAATGCCAGGCTGGGGAGGACTTGTGACCATTTGCGGAAACTGGTGGATATCCTGCGGATGTGGGATTCGAACAGGCGACCTCTTGCAGCCTAAGTGGGCACTTTACTACGAGGCCACGGCTGCAGCACCTCTTTCAAAAATATGTTACGGTGAAGACTTATTCGTTGACAGCGACATTACCTTACGTTCGCAGAGCGCACAGTATCGCATACTAACCGGGAAGCTCGAGGGCTCAACCCGCAACAGCATTGTTGTCATCTTCCTCCTTTTTGGTGCCATTTAAAGGCTTGTGCCAGAGTCACAGTTTCATGAAGGTGCCAATATATTTGCACACCAGTCAGCAACGTATCAAATATCATGCGTTCTGTAGCAGGTGAGTACCTAATTTTCACATGCATTTATACAATTCGGCTAAATATATTCATAAAGACTCTCGGATATATCAATAATTCTGGTTTGAAAAGCACCTTCAAAACCAGTACCACCGCATAGAATCATGAAAGATGAGATACAGCAAGTATAGTATACACTCAGGAACGCCCATACCTTCAACAGATAAATGTTTGCAAACTAATCTAAACACATGATAATTTGATTGTATTACACAGGTAAAAAATCGCAACACATCTAAGTTTTATGGCGCCTCGTAGATACGCCAGAGTTTTTCGTAGAAAAACTTCGCGCAGAACAACTGCTGGTATATCACATACTGTATGTACTCAAAACGTTAAAATGTGCTAAATCGTCGTTGAATGCCTTTGAAAACGAACATAATCATGAACATATACCAATCCATATAGTAGTACATGGTCAATTTCTTTGTGTACTGGTAGTGCCCGTAGTAGCTGAGCATAACAGATGGGTACGTCTGAACATACAGAAAACTCAAACAGGAATTCAGTTGCTGAGGTACACCTGAACTTTGCACATACAATTTGTTTAACGAAAACCCCTGCATGGTTACCACAGTCTGCTGAAACCGATAAGTTCTCGCCGATTGAGAGTAAAATTGGTTTGTTCAGTTTAGCTTGGGTTCAGTTTCTGAGTTCGCCACCAAACGACCAGTCGTGCTACTCTTGCAGTGATAAAACACGGAGTCCTAAAACAGATCGGAAAGAACAAGCACTGTCTCACAGCTAAAATGTTTATTTGGAAAAATAGAGCAATACTGGTCGAGAAAGCCGAGCAATGAAGACACGCGCATCAGTAAGAAAATCACATATGCCATTTTACATCGCAAATACGAAAACGTCTTCTTGTCTGTTCAGAAGATCGACGTACGGCGAACTCATTCATTCCCCCTTTTCGGAACGTGAAATGCATCCATAGTTTCACGAGTTGGTTTAAAACTGTTTGTAGAGAGCGTTTTCACGCCCACTAACACAGGCCCGCGGCCCTGCGTTTCACAATGCGATTCAAAATGGGATGAGTTAGGCTTCAAGATTGATTATTCTCCTAAAAACTTACTTTAGTACATCTACCATTTTTTCCTACCTTGATTTAACATAATATAGGCACATCTCTTATATATTCCGGCATTCACACAGTACATAAGTGGGTATGTGTTGAATTTCACAGCCGTCGTGTACAGCACTTGTCCTGTCCACTTTGCTGAGTATCTTCGAGTTTACACTATTCCTGAATCATGCAAGTGTTTTAACTTGCTCTAATTTTTATTATGCTTCAAAGAGTAACCTATTCATTAATTTCTCTTCTAAGCCGTATATATGTTCAAAAGAGTACACAATCAGAAAGGACCGTTCATTTTTGAATCTGGGTTACTGTTTCCTATCATACTTACGTGATAAACTGAAGACTGCTATGATGAATAACCGCGTAATTCTTATAGTGAATATTTGACTCAGCAATTTTCAAGGTACACCTTGTATTGGTAAAATATAAAAGTATATGTAGAAGTACACTTTTACTGTCTGAAGGTCCCGTTAATCTGGCCACTCTGCGACATCTTCACGCAAATGCATGGTATTATGTACGACGATGCTCTTCATCTGTATGAGTTAGTATCCCGTGTTCTAGTGCCCTGCAAATTCAATATCTTACCAATACGGGCCTGGTCTCAGCAGTAGCACACTTTATTTATTCTGAAAACTGTATGTCTTGTTTTTCTGATATTCCGACTGCTTCAACTTCGCTAGCCATAGAAATTTCAGCCAGCTATCTTCCCTAGAATTATTACACGTTCCTCAGTGACCGGAACATAATTGAGACTAAACAAAAAAGGCGATGTGTTAGTGGCTATATGTCATTCAGTGAGATATGTTAGACAAAATGACATTACACGTGTTTCTTGCTTCTTATAGATCTTTCATGCACTTTACTGCGCAAGCTCTTTCAAAGTATCAACGTCCATCTGCCGTACGACGTGCTACGTGCATATAGAAGGGCATGCGTGCCGTCTAACGATATCTGTTGAAAAAACATTGACCCCGTATCTGCATGTTGAGCTGCAAATGTTGTTGAAAGACGATAGTCTTACGCGTGGAAGCAGTGAACAAAACGTTTATTTGATGTTCTGCGCGAGAAAATTAGTGAATTGTATTCTGGAAGCACTGCGTTAGAGAGTCTCGATCCGTGCAGCGAAGGCGAACGAGCGCATCGAGGTGCGTTAGACACGAACGCCATCTGGCAGTTACCTTCAAGTACGAAGGAGGCGTGAGCACCCACAGAGAAAGATGAGTGCCTGTCTCGCAAGCGATAAGGAATAGAATGCAAAGCGACGGGCAGTGCCACCACTGTGTCGGCTTAGCTAAGGTCCCTAGATGAAACAAGCTTCCAAGGTAGCGTCACTCATTGTTCTCGAGCCATCTTCCTCACTCTCTCAATTGCCTCTCTTTTTCTCTGCCATCCGCGTCTGTAATTGGTGCATTCTTTGCACGTGACCTTGAAAATAGCTGGTGGTGCAAAAGGTATGCAGAAGGTTCAAAACGAGTATGCATGCGCGTATCGTCCCGGCTGGGTTCTCGCCGTGATTAAAGACGAAATCGCAGCCAGGACATAAACTGAAGAGGAGGAGTGTTTCAGTGTGTGCCAAGCCAACCAACATGGTTTCGCGGTGCTCGTTCACGCAACGTCCACGCTTTTCAAAAATGTTGCGTTGACGTTAAACAACACAAAGTGGTATCGCTCTCTTCAACTTACCTCGTGCTTTCCGAAATGAAGCACACCATGAAGTGTAGCTATGAAATATTTCACGTGAATTCTTTCTTGCAACTCCGTCGAAATACGTCAACGCGGATCTGCGAAGTGAGTTTATTTGTCGGTTTTCATTGAAACGCCAGGCGCGCGTAAATTACGCGTCTAGTGCATGCCAGTTGTTACAAATAGTTGTGCGTATGCATGTATACAGAGCAACTGGGGCGTGTAATCAACGCACCTTCAGGAACACTTCGCGCATGACCAGTTGACCAGAACCCGTCATGAAGAGGCGAAACGCACTGTTTCTGAACACCTCGACAGTAGAACTCTCACTTTCCAGGAAGATCCGCGCACCGCACAAGAATCACCCGGCATCACGATTGTCAAAGTGGGCACATTAAAAAGATAACGTCATCGCAGTACTGCTAGTCAAGCGTTCGTACAAGTCTAGCCGTGGTTTTTTCTCTGCGTGTACACAAGCCGGCTGTAATCACTCGCCACAACGTCATGCCCTGTGGTCACTGACAGGATCCAGTAAGAAGCGCGTTCACTGTGTCACAGTACGAACAAAACCCGTTCGGAAAACTGGACTAGTTATAACTGTATAAACTACGATGTACGACGCGAGACGCCAAGGCCAGTGGTGTAAAGTATAGCACTGCACATTGTTGCCAGTTGAGTAACGCACATCCCGCTTGTTAGTGTGTTGTATCATTTATGTTCATAAAGGTAAACGTTTATTCTAAGAATCATTTTGTTCAATTTTGTTTCATGTACATCTACTTACCCTAGCAACTGAACTCAAACATTCGCTTTTTCATGAAAGTTTTGAACCTTCAGGAACATAGGTGAGGAGGAAAGGGAAAGGTATCACTACCTTGGAAACTTGTTTCATTTAGGGACCCTAGTCTTAGAAAAGCGTTGGAAACATTCACCTTTTTGAGCATCGCGTTGCACTGTCAGCGCACCGTGACTAACAAACAGTATGGTCCTTAGAATTACCTGTGTGTGCCTTCTCTAGTATATACGCACACATAAAAAACATTAACGTGTTGTTATGATGCCTCAGATATGTGCAGTAATTGCTGTTTAATTGACAATCGCGCAAGTGTGAACGCTGAATTTTGAGCAATATTGGTTGGCGCTGCAGGTGGGGTAGGCTGTTTGAGGTATCGTTTGGTACGCTTAAAAGGACCGTTACCTCGTACAAACAGACAAATGTACAGACAGAGAGACAGACACACAGATCAAATTTTTGGCATAGAAGGTCCTCAAGAAAGACAATCGTCTTCAATAGCGCACGCATCGGGGTTCACGAGGTTGCTCTTTTAATAAATGTTGGACAACTGCTGCTCGAGCAGCGCCGAGCCATAACGCAGCGGCTCTCTTCTCCGGCGGCCGTGGGAGGACGGCTAGGTTGTTTCCTTTCTTCTCGACGCGCCATCAACTTCAGGCTTCGCACGCGAGACGATGTTATCTCACTCGCCATTCGTATGAAGGAGATGGCCGGTTCGTTCGATCTCTGTTCCTGCTGCTTTTATGTCCACACGGCAAAGAACATTATGCCTGGGGCGATGTTATGAATTTGTGCTTTGTGCGAAAGATGACAATAATGGCAGGAACCCGACAAGAGTGTCAGCAGAACTTTTGTCACCGAAAATTCAGCCAGCTAAGCGCTGTAATCAAAGCGGGATGGTGAAGCTGCTGGTTCACGATTGTCTGTGGTTGGATATATATCGCCTGCACTATTATCATCATCAGCAGCATTTCGAGTATCAAAATCATTGTCATTTCACTTGCAATTTTTTATTCATTCCGCCCTCTCTTGACGCGTCCAGCATCACAGGTTCTATTGGGATGACGATGGCACAATGTAGGATAACATAGCTTCGGCGTAATAGTACATAAACGCCTAGTCTGCGCATAGCTCTTCAACCTTCCAGCTTTCGTGTGACGAAAACAAATGTTTAAAAACAAGGATTCCGCAACATAAATCGCCCAGGAAAACTGGCACAGTGGAGGGTTTCGGACTCCAAGCGATTGAAAAGGAATGCATTTGGTCTCTACATGTTTTGGTATCACACGTGAACCTAGTGTTTGGATGGCGGAACTTACGCCCTTCAGCAAGCTTTTTCATATAATTGTCGTGAAGCTCAAGTGAAGTTCTTTAGATGAAATAACTTCGTTTCTGCGAGACCGTCAATCCGAACGCCATCCTTGACTTCCTCTTGACAAGTGACGCCGTACTCACAACTCCAACTCCTGGTGAAGCGGAATGGCAAGTCGGGCAAGTAGAAGTGGCCGCTTACGAAGTGGCCACTCGAAAACTACGGACACCCTAACAGACGCCGCCAAGCATTATGACATCATAGTAATTCGGTATAGATACACCTATGAGAGCCACCACATTATATTTTTTATTCACGTATTTTTCGACTTACTTTACGTCTACTCATAAAAAGATTGGTTGGTTTGTGGTTGTTCAAGTGCAGCTCAGTAGCGTTAGAAATAATATCTTATGTATCTCCTAATGCTTCGCCATCCGTTGCCTAAAATAATTAGAAAGACAGGTAGCGCGTTTTTCACTTCTGTATGGCCTTGCTCTTTCCTAGACGTGCGTTGTGAAACACAAATATTCCTAATAATCTACACAGATGTGGTGGTGTACATTGCCATGTCTGAAAAGTATACACTTTTGAATAAAATGATCCCGTGGATGTCTACCGCAACACATAAGGTCATCACTGTCACCAATAGTGCTATATCTGTTAGATGCATTGATAAAATCGACGCTGCGCATTATGTATGAAACTGACACTTTGACTTCAGTGCCCATTTGCAGCCAACGTGGTTGCTCATGGCAGTGGAAGTCACTGAGGTTAAACAGCTATGAATTCTTAATATGAACACAGGTGTGAAACCCATTATGAACAAGTTTGACATTTAGTTGCATGAGTGTAGAAATAATTTCTTTTCTCCTATGCAGATGAACCTCTCGGAATTTGCGCTGATCACCCAGCAGGCACTTGCAAGACGTATCCACCAACTTCTGAGTATTACCCTAGGAAGAGTTTCTTTTACAATTCAACATCCCGAAGATGTGAAGAATATCAAGTGTGCATGTCTACGGGTTATATTCTTCACCAAAACTCATTTCCCTCTAAAACGCTGTGCATTATGCACTGCCGGTGAGTCACTTTTCTCGGTCTTATTTTTGTTGAGAAACTAGTTAACAAGACTTTAATTGAATTTGTACTGGCAACATCGGCCTGACTATCCGTTAGATCTCGTTAGTACGCGTACCTCAGTGAAAACGGACCTTGCGAGGGAAGCATTGAGTACTCTGGTGCTAGCTGCTCCAAATCAGCTCTGCATTTACTGCCTTTCAAATATTCTCACTGTTTTAACGGGGCTGACGTGCTGAAGAGACATAAACATTTACACGTGACCTGTGCGAAAGATAGATACCTAGAGGCACGCAGTTATTCTTATTACCATTGCCGTATCAATTGATTAAAAGAGCGATCACGTACGTAATTTACTAGACTACAAATTTCAAGAAGTATTTATTTATTTTCATTCATTTATTCAACAATACTGCCAATCTCATCCGAGATCATTGCAGGAGGAACACATGTTAAAGTGTCACACAAAAATACTAAAAAATTGAACAAAAAATTGATTATCAGAAAGACAGAGCAGCTTGCACAGTATATATATATATATATATATATATATATATATATATAAATATATATATATATATATATATATATATATATATATATATATATATATATATATATATATATATATATAGTGGGAGTAATAATTCAATGGGCCAGTTAGTCTTCGTGAAGGTATGGGATATGGCACAACGGGAGCGTTGTCAACAAGGATAAATATATTTATTTCCCAACAGTTTCGGGAGGGGACCTCCCTTCATCAGGGGATGAGTTATCATCCAGGGGATGAGTCAGGGGATGAGTCCCTTCATCAGGGGATGAACTCATCCCCTGATGAAGGGAGGTCCCCTCCCGAAACTGTTGGGAAATAAATATATTTATCCTTGTTGACAACGCTCCCGTTGTGCCATATCCTATATATATATATATATATATATATATATAAATATATATATATATATATATATATATATATATATATATATATATATATGTGGTGTGTGTGTGTCTTTTTCGCATGGTTATGCGCAAATACGTACGCATATAACATGAGAGGGCACAAAAAGGGAACCTTTTAGTAAACGCCAATATATTTAGGTGCACATAAAGTATTAGAATGCATTCTGATATACCAGTCAAAGTTATTGTAATAATTGTTGTTGCACATGTACTTGCGGTGCCTTTACAACATATTTGCAACAGGGCGCTAGTTGCACCCATTTTCCTAGCTGCTATGAAAACTGCGAAGGTAACGGTCTTGCACAAAGGAGGCCCTATACATGATTTTATTAATTACCAGCCGATATCTGTGTTACCCTTATTTTTAAAAGCGTTAGAAAACGTAATAAAATTGATAACCAAGTTTCTTGATTATCATAAACTACTGTGAGCAATGCGGCTTTCGAGCAAAGATATCGACAGAAATGGCATTACTTGGAATTAACGAACAAATCGCTAAACATATAGACAGCAAGCAGTTCACCTTGGGAACATTTTTAGACTTTCGAAAGGCATTCGATTCGGTTAAGCATGATATTCTGTTCAAAAATTTACTGTATTATGGCGTTCGAGGTATTGCTCTAGAGTTTGTACGTGGCTTTTTAACAGACAGGTTCAATATACATGTGTTCCCGGGTATTATTCGCAGTTAAAACCAGTGACACTAGGCGTGCCTTAGTGTTTTATACTGGGACCTCTAAGATGAATGCTATTGTTCATGTTCCAGTGGCTACTTCTACCGTTATGTACACAGATGATACAAGTTTGTTCTTCTCTGTCAGTTGTATAAAAGATCTAGAGAAGAAAGTGAATGCATGCCTGGTCTCGCTTTTTTACTGGCTAGATTTGAACCAACTAAAACAGAATGTTAGTAATACTAGTTTTATTTTATTAAGGAGCAATAACAAGTGTGAAGATTACAGGATTTCTCTCTGGTTTAAAAATAATGAAGTGCAATGAGTCTTTTTTGTTTAAATTTTAGGTGTACTGTTTAATGGGCGTCTGAGTTGCGCACTTCGTATAAATAAAGTACACGCCAATATGTCTCGATTGATTTCCGTTTTAAGTAAACCAAAGTTCCCATTCCAAAACTCGTTAACGCTCCAACTATATTATTCTTTATTTCATTCCCATCTACATTACTGTCTTTTAATTGGGGCAAAACTTCAAAAACTGTTAGTCTCACATGAAGGTCTGTACGTTACAAAGAAAATCTGCAACCTGGAGAACATACTCCTCCCATTTTCGGCAAGCTTCAAATACTTACTGCTATCAATTATACATTAATAATCTCAACTAATAGATCAATAGTGAAATACGTAATACCGTTTTCACTCATATGGAGTATTGCTACCCAAGCGATATTCCCTATGGTCTACACTTTGATGGAGTCACCGCTAGGGGGCCATATAGACCAGACGCGTCTCGCATGGGCTCCTGCTTTTCGTGCTTTTTAACCCGAAAAAGGCCAGTGACGAACCGAAGAGTTTCACAGCCTCAGCCGCCAAGACACGAGGAATAGGTGGACACTAGCTTCTTTTGGGTGAGTGCATCCTATCTCAAGATATAAGACTTAATTCCCGACAAGCGCACGTCCAGTTCATTAAGCCTAACGCCAAGTTTGTTGCTGAGCAAAGCTGCGCGGGGCGTGCACAACGCGCTCAGGCGTTCCTGATGGCACGGCACGAGCGCTCGCGCTCAGCGTGGCGAAAAGCTTAGAATGAGCCGAGACGCAGCCACAGCAAGCGAAATGCAAAGAAACCAGCAAGACGAAGCAAATGCAGTGCAAACTGACCCAGTGGAGGCAAACAGAAGAAAAGAAAATTCGTGGACCTATGACGCTGGCAGTGGCAGAACAATTGCAACGGAAAGCGCTTGGATCACGAGAAATAAGAAAGGCAAGAAGGCTGTCGCCAATCCAAGGACACCGGCCAACCAACCTACAGAGCAGCCACCTATCAATGAGCAGACGCTAAAGTCATCACCAACGCAGCGACAACGCAGGCCCAAGATGCCACCTCTGCCGCTCGATGACTTTAGGATCGTCTACCGCCCGCAAGCAGGTCTTGATCTCGCCAAATGGAAGACCGTCGCTGTCACGCATGCCATCGACAGAGTGAGTGGACTATCACAGCAAGACTTGAACGACAAGGTACGCGTACAAGTCCAGAGAATGGAAAACCTAATCCTCGCAAGCACTGCCGCCAAAGAAGACGCCAAGAAGCTGGTAAGCATCCAGAAAATACAGCTTGGAGGAAATTTTTACACTGTGAACGGCAACATCAGAACACCGGGCGATGTCTCCAAAGGCGTCATCAGTGACTTGATACCCGGTACGAGCACCGCAGAACTCATGGCTGGAATTCGCGCACCGGCAAGATACACAGTTCTTCACGCCCGAATGCTAGGTCAATCGACCGCGGCAGTCGTCTTCTTTGAAGGACCGCACGTTCCCTACTACATAATTTTCCAGAGCGTAGACTTCCGCTGCAGACCATATCGTAAGTCAGTGCAGTATTGCCGAGCTTATGGCAATACGGGTCACCGCCAGGACGTCTGTTCGAAACCTATCCCGGATTTCTGCTATAAATACGGCAAGGCCGGACAAACGCAGGGACATGAATGTGCACCCGTCTGCAAGATCTGCGGGAAAGGACACGAAAGAGCAAGTAAATAATGCAAAAGGAGACTAAAGCCAAGTCCACCACCCTTCAACTTAAGACAACAGCGCCTCAACAGGCTTCAAGAAATAGACAACAACTGGAACGCCAGCGGAGAAGAGTTCCCTGAGGTTAGCACATCGGCCGCTACCTCTAACAGTAACAATGAGGGCCGCGTCTCCACGCGCAGCAGTTCCAAGTCAATATTGCGTTCGAGTTCACGCTCCCACTCTCGCACGCGTTCCGTCTCTACGCGCAGCAGGTCCAAATCAATACTGCGTTCCAGTTCACGCTCCCGCTCTCGCACGTGCTCGCGTTCCGTTAAACGTGCGAGCTACACTACCATGGCAGGTGGATCTAACGACAGCAGCAGCTTAACCTCTTCGAAGTCGGACACCTCATCCATACAGGTTCTCGAAGATAGACTGAAAAACCAGCAAAAAAGCTCCAGAATCAGCACAGCCAACTGCAAAGCCAACAAAGCCTCATAAATAAACTGCTTCCGAGTCAAAAACGACAACAAGAGCTCATTGACAAACTACTTGAAAAGTGCACGAATCAGCAAGGACATTCAGACAATGCAGAACAACACTATCAAGAACAAGCAAACTCAAGCACAGAGCCGGCAACGACGCTGACCAAGGTAGGCGTCCAAGCCCTAGTGAACGCAAGGTGCACGATATTCGAAGAATCTTTCATGAATAACATGCACGCCACGATGGAAAAGATTGTCCAGTTTGCAATAGAAAAAACAGCCTCAATGTTTGAACACAATATCACTACGCTTGATGCCAAAATTGATGGGATTGCTGCGCAAGTCAACAATTTCATCGCGCACGTGAAGAAAACTTACGTAATCGTGGCACAGTTTGACAGCTTGAACAACCCACGCCAAATGACTCGGAAGAAGGCACAAGCGAACAGTCACAACGCCTCCCGCTCAGTCTCGCCGAGTCGCGATGGCAGGCGTGACATCGAATCGATCGAAGATGGCAGTCCCAAACCATAAGTATAAGAACCAGCATTCAGCTTTACGCATATGGCAATGGAACTGTCGGTCATACCGCCCTCGACACGCAAGCCTACAAGAATTCATCAAGCTTAACCAACCAGACATCATTGCACTTCAGGAAACCAACACGCAGAACGTGCGACTGCAAGGGTACACGACATGCGCACAAACCCGACGAACTGCCATACTTGTCAAGAAAGCACTTTCAACGCAAAAACACGAAATCGAGGACACTCAGATAGAACATACCCTAATAGAGATTCTGCCGGAACAAAAAACGCCGCAAAGTCTTTTCATAACCAATATATACAGCCCCCCACGAGACTAACTAC